GCCCCGGCTGTCCCCTCCACCGGGAAAGGCGGAGTCCCCTTGAATGGGGTCTTCCTTCCTCCCCTCTCCCTCCGCTTCCGCTCCCTTCCCTCACTTTAGAGCCTCAAGTTTTTTAAAGGACCTGAATTTGAATTACTGTGTTGTTTTTACGTTTTTTTTAATGTTTATTTTTGAGAGGGAGGGAGGGAGGGAGGGAGGGAGGGAGAGAATGAGTTGGGGAGGAGCAGAGACAAAAGCGAGACACAGAAGCCGAAGCAGCTCCAGGCTCTGAGCCGTCAGCACAGAGCCCGACGCGGGGCTCGAACCCACAAACCGCGAGACCGTGACCTCAGCCGAAGTCGGACGCTTCACCGACAGAGCCACCCGGGCGCCCCAAGACCTAAAATTATTTAAGGCGATAATTATAACGGATAATTCTTGTGCTTGTAAGCTACAGAGAGGTAGTAAGTACAACAACAGCACAAGGACCAGACCAGAGGGAAGAGAGCTGCCTGGGAGAGGAGTTTCCCTAGGCTGGTGGGAAACGATTCGGTGCAGACCTATGAGAAGTACGCTGTAAACCCCGGGGCGACCGCTGAGAAAACGCCTTAAAAATACAGTGAGGACCCTCAGGAAAACTGTGAAGAGACTAGAACCCAAGAGTTCTCCTCACAGGAAGTTTTTCTTTCCTTTGTGCTTATCTGTGTGAGAGCACAGATGTCAGCTGGACCTGGCGTGGGATCGTTTCACGGCACACAGACACCTAACCGTCGTGCCGCACGCCTGAACTTACACAGCGACGCATGTCAATTCTCCTCAACACAACTGGAAAAATATACAGTGAGAAAATAATTTAAGAAGTTAAAACGTTGCACTAGAAAATACTCACTTACGGGGCACCTGGGTGGCTCGGTCAGTTAAGCGTCCGACTTCGGCTCAGGTCATGATCTCACGGTCCGTGAGGTGGAGCCCCGCGTCGGGCTCTGTGCTGACGGCTCAGAGCCTGGAGCCTGTTTCAGATTCTGTGTCTCCCTCTCTCTCTGCCCCTCCCCTGTTCATGCTCTGTCTCTCTCTGTCTCAAAAATAAATAAACATTAAAAAAAAATTAAAAAAAAAAAAGAAAATATTCACTTACTGCAAAAGAAAGCAGCAAAGGAACAGAGACAAAAAAAGACATGAGACATTTACTCGACAAATATTAAAACTGCCCACATAAGTCCAAACTGTATCAATAACAACACGGGATGTGAATGGACCAAGCAATCCAGTCAAAAAGTAAAGGTCACCAGACTGCATTTTTTGTTTTAAATCCAACTACATGCTATCTCCAGGAGACAAACTTTAGATTCAAAGACACAAACGTCATGCAAACGGCCACCACAAGAGCAAGGCTGGCCACACTGTATCAGGCAAAATGGTTTGCTTTTTTTTTTTTTAATTTTTTAATGTTTACTTATATATTTATTTATTTTTAATTTTTTTTTTAAATGTTTATTTTTATTTTTGAGAGACAGAGTGCAAGGAGGGGAGGAGAAGAGAGAGAGGGAGACACAGAATCCGAAGCAGGCTCCAAGCTCCAAGCTGTCAGCACGGAGCCCGATGTGGGGCTTGAACCCATGAACCGCGAGATCATGACCTGAGCTGAAGTCGGACGCCCAACCGACTGAGCCACCCAGGCGCCCCTGTTTGTTTATTTTTGAGACAGAAAGAGGCAGAGCATGAATGGGGGAGGGTCACAGAGAGAGGGAGACACAGAATCCAAAGCAGGCTCCAGGCTCCAGAGCCCGACGCGGGGCTCGAACTCACGGACCGCGAGATCATGACCTGAAGTCGGACGCCCAACCGACTGAGCCACCCAGGCGCCCCCAGGCAAAATGGTTTTAAAACAAAACGAAATTGCTAAAGAGAGACATTTTCTGAAGATACAGCAATTACACAGAATGCACCTAACAGCAGAGTTCCAAAAACACCAGAAGCAAAGCCCGACAGAACCGAAGGAAGAAACTGGTAAGTTAGCAAAGGCTAGAGATTCTGATGCCCCCGCTTTCAATACAGAATAAAACGGAAGATCAGTAAGGAAACCGAACGCATGGACCACACTGCTGAGCAGTCAGACACTCTCCCCGACGACAGCACAGAGTCACAAGGGCACGTAAAATCACTCCAGATGCAAATCGAAACCACGGTGTGAAACCCGTTCACACCCATCAGAATGGCGATATTCAAAACGAGAGCTAATAACGAGTGTCCCATGAGCCGCGGCTCCCTCTGACGGCCTCGACCGAACCACGGACCGACTCAGCAGGCCTGGGAGCCCAGGGACAGGAACGCTGTCCCCAGGAGGTGGCTGCCCAGCCAGAAGCGTCTCCCAGGCGCCCCCGCCGACACCCAACCCCACGAGCGGGCTACCGTTATCTGTCCCCCCGCCCCGTCCTTACAGAGCCACCCGATGGGCCACGTGCTATTCCAGGTGCCAAAGACACACCCAGGTGGCGAAACACGGCGCCCGCTCGGACGGCTCGCACGCAGCCCACGGGCCCGCGTCAGCGACGAGACGGGGGTGAAATACCCTGGGTGCCCACGACAGAGACGGAGTGGGAAGGACAGCTGGCGTCCCCTCGGGCTGGAACGTCTGAGAACAGGAGGGACACGGGCCGGCGATTCTTGGGCAAGGGGGGTGCGGACAAGGAGCCGGTGAGCGGCGGGGACAGCGTCGGCGTGCTGACCACCACCCGCGAGATGCAGCAGGTGCAGGGACACAAATGGGACAATAAAGGCTTTTTATTCGCTTTGAGCCACTACCAGTAAAATGACGCGTCGCACGTACCAGTCCCACCGCACAATCCAGGCTTTCCCATACAGATGTGTTCCGTGGGTTAGTATCTCGGAAGGTATTTGCAAGCAAGAAGAAACTACTCGTCACACTCACACAGTCAACCCCTTTCTGCCCAAGGACGACGTGGGGAAATCACACTTTCCAGAGGGATGCAGTGCTAATGACAAATGAGGTTCCAGACGGGGCGTTTCCTGCCCGTCCTCCCAGATACGACCAAAGGTCGGGTTCTCTGCGTAACAGAACAGTGACCAATTTCAGACGGTGCTGTTCCAATGCTTTCCCCAAATTTCAAAAGCCACCTCCAGCTGTCACTCCCAATCCTGTCACTGAACTCTAGCTCCCATCAGGTAACAAAAAACAAATCACACCCAGAGGCGTCTGGGGAGGGTGGGGGGGGGCTCAGTCGGTTGAGTCAGCTGTGCGGACAGCTCCGACCCTGGAGCCTGCTGCGGATTCCGTGTCTCCCTCTGTCCCTCCCCTGCTCATGCTGGATCGCTCATTCACTCTCTCAAAAATAAAGCGTAAAAAGAAAAATTGTTTTGAATAAAAAGTCACACCTGTGACACAGGTCCTGCCGTGGCTCAGAGAAAGTGTTTCCAGAGATGGCTTCCAGGCAAATGCAGTTTGGAACAAGCACACGGGGGGACTTTCGGCAACAGAGCACATCCCCACACGGCGCTGTTCACTCGCACAAAACGTGACCCACCGCCAGGACGGAGGCCACAGCCCACGGACCGAGGGCAGACCGACACTGCGGCTCCCAGGGGGCCCTGGCCCGTCTTCTGTCCTCCTCCCTCTTGGTGTTTATGGCTCAGTTTCACCGAGGGGCTATACAAGCAGATTGTCAAGCTATACAATCTCACTCCTCACGCCATCACCTCCCTTTACCTCTGAGGGCCCAGCAGATATCTGCCCCCTTTAGGCTAACGTGAAATGAAAAACGGGCACTCCATGAACTATGGAGTCTGCTCACTTACTGAGATCAGTCACGTAGGTCTAGTTCACTCTTTATTAATAAAGGTGACTTCTAATAAAAAGCATAATTTAATTCAAATAAACAAGTACAGAACGTAACACATAATCACAGCGTCACTTAAACAGGAACGGACGTGCCCTCTCTGGGCTGTCTGGAACGGAGACCTCAGAGCCCTCGGTGACCTACGTGGACAGCAGCTCGGCAGGTGTGGGGGAGGGGGGCTGCCCCCAGGCCGGCACTGGCCCCGTGTGCAAAGGGCCGCGGTGGAACGACCTGGAGTGAGTGGGTAAAGCCCGTCAGACCAGATGTGGTCTTCGGCCATCACCACTGTTCCAGTCCAATCTGGATTTGAGTACGACCAGCCTACACATCTGAAATAAAAGCACTGCTTCATGCTTTCCGACGCCTTTGGCATTTCGTCTGTTTCCAGGCATCTTTATAAGCAATAAATTATAACTATAAAGAACACAACCTGCCGCTGACGCTCCTGACGCGGACCTGGGCAGCGACCACTAATGTCAGCGACAAGTCCAGGAACTAAAAGTCAGAGCACCCTCTAGATTTCTTCGAATCAAGCAAAACTACGTAGCACACACACAAGTGTTTTCGTACAAGCTTCCTGGCCTAACAACCCTTCCAGACGGAAGGAAATACACAATAAAGCAGACACGTCAAATTCAACTTAAAGTAACAGGCTTGTTGCACATGTACCAGGTCGTTTTGCCAAGTATGTGCAGAACCACCTAATATCGAATATGCTTTGATTCTAGACGGCTCAAGCCACACACACACACACACACATACACACACACACACACACACACACACACACACACACACACACACAGTTGTGTGAACCTACAGCTTTATTGACACCTTTCAGGATGCTCTTAATACTCGTATTTTCATGGGTTCACTCCCTGTGAGGAGTCTGAGTTGTAGATAATCAATTTCCACAGAGAAATGTGCAGCCAAACCAAATTAAGAACTTGTATCTTCCACACATGGGCTCAAGTCGGAAGCGTTTTGTTTAGTATAACGAAAAGTTAATTTTTAAAAATATCTGCAGTCTTTTTGAAACACAAGGCACCAACAGGGAGCAGACATTCCAGCAAAGAGTGATTGTCTGGGGCGGGTGGGGGGGGGGGGGGGGGGGGGGGTGCAACTGATCAGAGTCCTCTGTCCTTTGTTGATGAGAATACTTCCTCCTTTCGTGTCTACGCAACGTCTTCCAGATAATCCGCGACATCACTGAGCTGGGACACAGTCAGGTCCTGCGTCAGGTCATCAAGCTTCGTGGTTCAAACGGAAAAAGGAAAAAGAGCGGGTGTCAGAAGACAGAGTCATAAATAATCTTTAAAACATACTGCTGTCATTTACATATCACCTTGTACTCCACAAACCACTTCGTATCCAAAAGTCCCCTAAACCCTCCCCTTCCTCCCCCTATTTCGAAACCTGGGACGATTACCAAAGGCTGAGCTCGCAGCCCAAGGCCACGCTAACGAACACCTGTTACCATAACCCTCCCAGCTGCCCCGGTGGCTGCAGGTACATCGGGTGCGACCAGAGACCAAGTGCCGGGAGCCGTCCTCCCCCAGCCTTCCCGACGCTCCCGTGAGGCACACACTACCGGTCCCGCTGTGCCAACGGGCAGGCTGCAGATGACAGATTAAAGCGCGCCCAGGAGACCACAGGACGCAAAAGGACACGCTCCCGGAGGCTGCCGGCTCTGACGTGCCGCCTCTCCCAACGGCCTGCCGCGTCCGGTCATCCCGCGACGGTCACGGGCACTTGGGGAACGCCCCTCGTCCACCTCCGGGCCGGGGCCGCCTACAGCCCGAGAGGCGCCCGCCTGACCGGCAGCCGCCTCTGTGACGCCGACGGGACAGCCTGAGATGCCGCCTCCGTCTCACGTGCAACGTGCGTCCACCCAAGTACACTCTGCCCTCTGCCCAAGAACAAGGCCGAACGTGGATCTCCGGGACGCACTCCTAACCGCCCGGCCCGCCGCACGTCTGCCGAATCATCCCCTCCGGGCTTCCGCGCCAGCCCTGGCCTGCCTGTTGACACGCCGCTTCACCTCCCCCTGCACGGGGCTCCCATCCCCGCGCCCACTCCCAGTCCTGTCCCGACTTCTCTGGCCTCTGCCATCTACACCCCTGAGGTGGTCAGTTCGGACTCCAGTCCTGACCCACTGGGGCCCACCTACGCCGACGCCCAGCCACAGGGCACAGGTGCCCCAGCGGCACACACTGACCCCGGGAGCGGCCATCAGGGGCACCCTACAGACGCGTAAAAGCCATTGTTTCTCGACTTGGGCCCAGTAGCTGTCACGTCACGATTTTCAACTGTTTTTCTCCTAATCTGTGTACATTTTTTGAAGCTTTACAGCAAGTCAAGGCAACAGGCACAAACAGCGTTCCACAGGAAACGCTAACACCATACTTTGTCACTGGTATTGATGTCGTCCATTTCCACAGAAAGATCTTCCTCGATCTCTTCACCAATACTCAGCTCACTTTTTTCTGAGCGATGGCTGGTACTAGTTTGAGAGAAGGAAACAGAATAAAGGACACTGAATACGAACGTTTAAATGAAATATCAGGTACCATTAACTTTGTCCGTATTACCTCACCTGATCCTCAACATAACTTATCGAGGGCAACAGAAACAGGGGAGTCAACTTAAGACATGAGAAAACCAAGGTCCGTGATGGTGACTCTGGCCACAATGTCAGGAAAAGCACAAACCCAGGTTCTTAAAATTTCATCTACAAGCCATGCCATCTCTCAAAAAAACTGTATGATAAATCATTCTGTTAAGAAATAAAATATAAATTCTCAATTGGGGCGGGGGGGGACCTTGTCAATTACATAAAATTCTCAGGCTCTAATTTAAAATTTCTCGGGGCGCCTGGGTGGCGCAGTCGGTTAAGCGTCCGACTTCAGCCAGGTCACGATCTCGCGGTCCGTGAGTTCGAGCCCCGCGTCAGGCTCTGGGCTGATGGCTCGGAGCCTGTTTCCGATACTGTGTCTCCCTCTCTCTCTGCCCCTCCCCCGTTCATGCTCTGTTTCTCTCTGTCCCAAAAATAAATAAAAAACGTTGAAAAAAAAAAAAAAATAAATAAATAAATAAAATTTCTCATCACACCCACAACAATTATTTCCAAACCATCAGGCAACTCACAGATTATCATTACGTACGTAAAAAGGTATCTGAACAAAACATGACCTGTCATCTGAATGAGGACACTAGCTGGAGAGGGCAATGTCTCAAGTTAGGCGTGCGTCCCCACCTTCCACGGGGCTGGGGGAGCGCACGTGGACCACGGCAACCTGACGCGACCTGACGCCTCCGAGTGGCCGTGTCGTGTTCTTACCAAGTTTCCTGAACATGACGCGTTTGTTCGCATTCTAATGCAAAACCAAAACAGGCTTCGAAGTGCAGGGTGTAACTCTGGAGTGACCAGCGTGCACGAGAGAGTCAAATACACTAAAATAAGCAGCAACGTAATTCCGTCACGCTTTCCTGTGTCACAAACTCTGCGATTTATTTGTTGCCCAGCTATTTTTCTTACCTGTTAAAGTCATCAACATAGTCGTCGTCTTCTCCAGTCCCTGTAAGTTTAAGAAAAGACGGGCGACGTTTACATCAGCATGCTTCACGATGTAGCTACAATCACACACTCACGTTTCCTTCAGGAAAAACCCCATTACCGAATGATATTGCATCATTAAAAATGAAGTCTCCGGGGTTAGAAATATCTTTCCCGTATAGGACACGAAAGCAAAGGACCAAATAAACTACCTACGAAATAACAGAATGTCATTCATAAAATGTGGTTAATACCCAGTCTTTTATTCCAAGTACCCAAAAGCTAAATCACGTTGTATGTTTATTATTTGTAAAGTCGTCTGATATTAAAAATATCAGGTGCTGGATGTAATGGGAGACCTCAAAACCAGATTATCACGAACCCCCTACTGCTGCCTCATGGGCTGTGAGTTCGAGCCCCGTGTCGGGCTCTGTGCTGACAGCTCGGAGCCTGGAGCCTGCTTCCGATTCTGTGTCTCCCTCTCTCTCTGCCCCTCCTCTGCTCGTGCTTTGTCTCTCTCTCTCTGTCAAAAATAAATAACATTAAAAAACTAAAATAATGTCCAGGTGGGGCTCTCAGTTAACGTACCGGCACTTGACAATCAGCGTGACCTCAGGCAACTCACGTAACCTGGCTCTCATCTGCAGAAATGGAGGAAATACTAAAACCAACCTCACAGGGTTAAGACTGAGATAAAACCACCTGTTGCCACGGTGCCAAGTGCGTGTCGCCAGCGTCATTATTACCCTAGGCTGGTCCGCTAACATTCGTACGTTACTTCAAATACTGAGAAGTCCACAAATTCACGACGACGACGAAAACAAACAGGAAGCAATACCGCTGCAATACCATCAAACAAAACTAAACAGAAATGCTGATTTACACCGAACCCTCACATCCGGCTGAGTGACCAAACTTCAGCTGACGAGTCCCAGGTCTTCCCCGCAGTGGCACCCACAGCCCCAGCCCAACGACAGCACAGGTCCCGGCGAAGGCGAGGGAAGCAGAGGGCCCCCTTCTCCCGGCTGGCACCTGCAGCGCGGCAGGGCCCCTTCCCTCGAGGGGAACGCTCAGTGTCCCCTCCTCAATAGCAGGCTGGGGCTGCCCTGGCTTTGACAAAGAGCAGGCTGTCAGAGGAGAGGGACAGCAGGAGGCAGAGACACCTGGCACAGGTGAGACGCAGGTGAGTAGAAGCAGCAGGCCAGGCAGGGAGCAGGGGGCGGGGCCAGGGGCGGGGCAGGAGGCGGGCCAGGGGCAGGTAGAGCCGGCAGCTGCGGGTGGGGCTGAGGAAGAGACGGCCTGCCCAGGAACCGGGGGAACTCTGGGCAAGGGCTCAGGCCCGCCCAGCGTCACCTTCACCGCCACTGCCACCGCCACCGCCACGGCTGCAGAGTCTGGCAGCTGGGGGCGCGTCCACGCTGCGGCTGCAGGGCGAGCCGAGACACCGCCAGAGGCAGCCGGCGCTCATGAGGCACCGTTCACTAGGGCCTGCGTGTGTCACTGGAGTGTCTCCAGCGTACAAGGAGCTGGGTGCCGTCAGCGCCCGCGGGCAGGCCCGGAGAGGGCACGGCTGGCCTCCGCCTGTTCGGACGCGCCACGGAGGGAGGCCCCATCTGCGATGTCACCTGCGCCCACCTGCTCCCAAACTGGAGCTGGAGTCCTCTCCGCTCACCACAGTGTCCTCCAGAACGGG